TCCTTCAATCTGAAGGTGTAYGTCACTCAGTTTATAATTCACCTGCCATCACTTAATGTTTTAATGGGAAAAGTAAGCACAGTAAGCACACACTTATAATCACATCCTCCTCAGTCTTCGTGTCATCTTTCACAAATTCTGCGTCCCAAGAGCCCCAAAGCTGTCACTTATTGACTCAAAACATGAATGATTCATAGTTCTCAAATTCCTTCTGACTTTGGCACACTTCAGGTCGCAGGTTGCTTTTGTCCCTCTCCTGGTGGCCCCGGTTGGCAGGGCCAGCAGCAGGAAAGGGGGAGCAGGGGGAGAAGCAACAGGGCCGCCGGGAAGGCTGTTAGACCTGACTGTGCAGATTTAATCCGACTAGCTTCTTGGTCCATGAGTGATTTCTATCACCATAATAAATTGCGTGCTATTGTGAACTCTTTCAGACTGCTGTCTGCAAAAATCAATTATTCACAGAAATTCTTGCTGACAGTTGCGCGCCAGGTCACAGTTCTGCAAACCAAGGAAGGCTCAAGTTTGCTCACCCATGTTAGAGGAGAGGAGGGACCCACAGAGAGAAGCCAGCAAGGAGGGACAAGGACAGGCGAGACCCCCCCAGCACTGTGGCTGGCTTTGCTTAAGGCTGGCAATTCCCTTAACTTTGGAGGCACACAGTGACACTGTTGTCTGYGCTCTTGGTTTGCGACTTCCCTGTTGTGAGCGCACAAAAAAACTGTGGTAGGGTTTTAGGAAATTTAGGAAAATGCATTAATTGTGAGCTGGATGTCACAGCTGATTAATGAGTGACACCTTGTCCCCTGTTGACTGTCGTTGAGGCAGGGCTAGGAGATTTAAGGAGTTAAAGCACATGCCCTCAGACCCGAGCAGATGATGCCAAAATTGCAGTTCTAAAATTTAGATGGGAAAAAAGAGAAAATGGTTCTTCACGGGTGACCTGCTTTGCCCCTTGCTTGGAGCATTCAGCTTTATGAAAAAAATACTCAACAAACCTGCGTTAAATGGCCCGTTTTAAAACAAGAAAGTAGTTTCAAACAAACAAACAAAAAACAGTTCTTTTTAACTGTTTTGAGCAAACATAGCACCCTTGATTTTTTTTTTTTTTTTTTTTTTTTTTGCCAAAACAGAGCACTTAGACCTCAGATTGTAGGTGCGTTTTGTCCACCTCCAGCTCGTGGTGGGGCTGAATTTGCTGATTCCCTGCAGCTGCAGCCCCTTCCCCTGGTGCCCTCTGAGGATGCTCGCTGGAGGTCACCGGGGTGGCCACGTCCTGGTGCCTGCGCTGCCTGGCGTGTGCTCTCCTGCCYCCAGTGACAATGTGAGGTTTGTGGTGACAGTTTTCTTGCAGTTATTGTGACAATAGAAGTTGTTTTGAGCAGGATCCCAAGTTAATCTGTTATTCCTATTGCTTGGAGCAGGCAGGAACAGCCCTTGGCATCTCTTCCCCTTGGCATCGCTTTTCTGGGTGTTTTGTATCTAGGAACCATTTGCCTTAAGGTATAATCCTGCTGTATATTATAGCCAGTATCTCTTAAAATACAGATGTTACGTGGAAGGTGAAATCTGTAGGTTACTTTAGGTTTAGTGGGTCCTTTCTGTTCTTGCAAGTTCCACTATTGCTAACTTTCGAGAAGTGTCCTAATGTACTTTTTCAGTTCTGTTGGTAAACAGACTAATAAAACACAGAAGAACCATCTGTTCTTGCTTTACTGGGGACTTCATCAAATACCTCATTTTTCATTTYGTTCTTAATTCTCAATTAATTGTTCCCATAAGGAGAAAAATAGTCAGTATTGCTCTTGTTGCTAGGTCTAAGAGTAGGATCTACAGATGAAAATAACCTGACTTTGATGTAAATTGGCAAAAAAAAAAAAATCAATCACGGAGCTGGCTGTACAGTGACTGGAACAAATCCTCTCTTTAAAGAATAACATAAAATTCCTGAATAAGAATCAGTTTACACCGATCCAACATGTGCTTGAATTCGTGCTTGAAGTAGGAGAGCATTGCAAATGTTGCCAGCCAAAACTTAATCTAGTGTTTTGGTGATATACAGCTTGGGTTTTGCATGGATTAAAATTGCTTTCAGCCCRTGCGGAGAGGGAGCATTTCAGAGCAGAGCTGGGAAGTGTTTCCTGCTGGCTCCTAAATCTCATTACAACTTGTCACTGCTCTGAACCACTCGAAAACCCAAAGAAAAATGCTGGGGAAGAGAACAGAGAAAGGCTGAGCACTGTGAGATTTGGCCATGGTGCATCACAGGGTTTGGTGTGGAGGTGGAGGCCAAGTTGTCTTGCAAACGGTGTGCTGAAAAAAATCTGTTTTATCTACAATACAGTCAACAGAAAAGGGGCTGGCTGTAGTGAATAGCAAAAGAGGACCTAAGGCTTCATTCCTCATGCAGATGTGAGTAGAGGTCACCTGGGCATCGGTGTATAAGTGAATACAGAAAGAGGGAATATTCTTCAAATCCTCTTTTTGCCCTGCTTAGAAATTCTTGTTAATAGTAGAAGGAATTTTTTTTTTCTGTTTTTTTTTCTCTATTTGTTTTAAAAATGCTGTGAGGTGCCTTGCAGCTGGAAGGAGCATAGGGATGCTGTTTCGCCCGTTGGGCTTCTTGCAGRAACACCATGAGCAGCGCGCCTGGTGCCCTGGGGGTCTGCAGAGCCTGATGTTCTGTCCCTCTCCGGCGTGTGCTTGTTGCTGGGTTCGCGTGAGCAGTTAGCCTCGCAGAGCTCGGCCCCTGCAGCCGGGCATGAAGAGGCGGCGTGAGCTCCGTTTGCGAGCGAGCAGCGACGGGCAGTTGTGAYGAGAGGCAGACACGCCTGAGTTTAGAGCATCCCAGCATGTGCTTTTGCAGCGTGTTAGATGCTTCTTTCCTATCAAACAAGCATGGTGTGGGGAGTGGGAAGGRGCACAAGAAATCCTTCGACAGGAGAAGGCATCCTTAGATGGCTCTTTCATTTCTCTCTTCTTATCAGCAAAACATAAATCCCCAGCTTGCTGACAGTGAAACCATATGGTAACTCTTTCAACAAATCAATTTAGTAGTACAGATAATCCTGGATGTGCATGAGAAGAGATGTTTGGGATTATTTTTCCTCTGTTTTTATATTACTCTTTGTTTTCCAGCACCTGAACGTTAGCTGTTTGGTTCTGTGGAACCCTTGGCTTGTGTGGATAACTCTGCACTGCAGAGGCTTCCTGGGGCTGCTTGTCACGGGGGACATCTGCTTCCTTGCCACGGACAGAGCCCTAATGTGTTGGCAGCATCAGATCCAAATACTTCTTGAGCATGGGTATCCTCTTAGTGAGAGCCCTAGCTAAGAGGTGATTTAAGAAGTGGTTTTCAGCCTTGCTTCCCTGGAGAGGCATCAGCAAGTGAGTTTTCTTCCTCAGTTCAGCTGCTATAGGCCAATATCCAAAAGTGAGAGCAGAAAAGAGCTTGCAAGCAAAGCCTCAGAGCAGTGGGAATGGGGTTATGGAGACACAGATCAAGTCTAGGAGTGATGACACAAGCCCACTCAAAGCTAAACAACCCATCGTGAGTTTTGCTGCTTGCCCTAGCCTGCTTGGCAGTCACAGCCCCTGTGTTGCTTGCACCTTGCAGCTGCAGGCGTGAGCMTGGGATGTGCAGAGCAGCCACAGGGCTGCAGGGATGGTGCCAAGGGCTAAAACCCTTTATTCAGCTTTGATTTTTTGGTTACTAATATGTGCTACCAGCCAAAACCTGAACACCTCTAGACGCACAGAAAATAAATTTAGCTCAAGATGTAAATCTGACCAGCACAAATGCATTTGCAGTATTTGCAATTTACTTCAGGAAACAATGCAGCTTCAATACTGGCATCCTCTGACAACAGAATTCCCTGATTATAATACATGTAGTCACATAAGCATACTCAGAAAGTATTCAAAGGATAAATCTGCATAGAAAGCTGCTTGTATAAATACGAGTTTGGAAATATATCTAAACCCTTTCTGGACTTGGAAAGGTAAATTTAACATAGGAAGAAAGCAAATGCAACAAATAATTGCAAAAAGATTATAGATGTTAGCAGTACAGGCTGCTAGAGCTTCACAGGAGAGATTTATAAATGAATTATTAGAAGACCATTACTGAGGAAAATCAGGGCAAATCTGATCCAGAAAATTTAAATCTGAACTTGGATAAAAATCACAAACTCCTACTGGCGTAAGGCCATCTATGCATTTCAATAAAAACCCCTAGAAAAGGAAAAAGCAGCCAGACATCTAATTTTTTGACTTTGAGGGGAGTGAGAGCTTGTATTGAAAAGCTCTAGGAAAAGGGAGAAAAGCTATTTCTATTCTGGCCAAATGCAGATATATGAAATGCAACTGATGAATTTTCTCTCTGCGTAGAGCCGGGTGGAGAGGCTTTTGAAAGCTGAAGTTCCTGCCCCAGTTCCCTTCCATGTGGGAGATGACATAACACTATTATAATCCAGGGAAGCATCCATATCTTAGTGGGATACTGGCTCAGGAGAAGCTGTTAGGAGTCTTTGTAAACACTCAGGTGATGAAAATATTTTCAAATCTGTGGCTGAGGAAGCATACTGACAAGGTCACTGACGTTCAAGTGTTTTAATTACTCTACGTATATCATTATGGGCAAGGATGATGCAGGAAAGGGCAAAGAGTGTCTGAACCAACTACAGCTGCATTTATTACTTGGGAAAGGTCAACACTGGATTAAATGGAGTGTGTCTCGAAYGAAAGAATCCAGTGCCAAATTATCCAATCTTTGGAGGCTGAATAAGGATTGCGGGTCGGCTGGTGATTCCCCTGTCTGGTCTGACGAGGGTTGTGAACCACTTTCTGCTCTGAATTGCTTCCTGCACCTCACACAGCCGGGAGTGTCACYGGTATGAACTTGAAGTGTGTGATCTGATATCTAAAAATACCCTTGAATGCGTGAAATGCAAGAAGGTGGATATTCTGCAGCCTAGGAAAATGGCTTTTCATAAAGTCTCTAAATGTACGAGCAAGGTAAAAAGAAAAACTCAAACTCCTGGTGTTCGTATGAAGCGGTGAGGATAGTTGTCCAATTCGTATCTTCACTCTGTGTTCTAGTCATCACATATGGGAGGAAAGGTCAGGGGACCAAGGGAAATGACCATCTGGAAAATATTTGCTCTTCTTGAGGCAGCTGTCATGATATAAGAGTGAAAGAAGTGGCAGAACAAGTAGAAATAATTGGCATGTAATTAAAAAAGACATTTTTTAAAGCTAGTTATTGGTATATATTTACCTAGTAGATTAGACCAGGAATCATCACTGTGGCTTTTGCTTGGTCTTTTTCTGTTTTATCTTTGTATTGTTTTCTAGGGGGTTGTCTTTTTTAGAGCAGAAAGTGCAGCCAGGTAGTACTCCTGTCTTCTGTTGTTTGAGCTCAAACACTCAAAATTAATTAATGACAGGAGAAAGTTTTGTTTTTGCTAGTAAAAAGAAAAGAGCTCATACGGACAGCATGTAATTCTGTCCGAATGTTCTCACGGAGGCAATTAAAGCTGTGAATTTCGTTTTGTTGGTAAGTGCAGGAAGCCTCATTTTCCCCCTTCATTTTTGTGTTTTATCACGGCGCTCACAAGCCCGGGCTCACAGCTGCAAACCAGGCACCACCTCCAAGGGGGCCCTGCCGGAGGCAGCTGGAAAAGAGGGAGCCTGACCTCTGAGGCAGGAGAAGTGCTGATATTTAGTAAAAGTCAAATGTATATAGGTAAAATAGTTCCCAGATTCTGTCAGTGCCTATGTGCAGGAACAGAAAAACGCACTTGTTTTTGTTGTCTGTGGAATAAAACTGAATGTCATATGGTGTCCTAATGAATAATGTTTAAAATTCATGCTTAAAATGAGTATGAAGCAAAGGATGTTGCAACTGTGGGAACTAGACAATGCTCAATAGGAAGAGAAAAGCAGAATGAGCAAAGGTACAGACCTGACAGCAGAGATCAATTGAATGGGTGTTGTTCTCCCTCTCTCACCTATTTTTTTTTATCCTCTGTCCTTACCATGGCYTTTGGACCTGTTGGCTTATTCTTAAGATGGACAGCTGTGTCCTAGCGCTCTAGGGAGGTGGGAAGTTTCTGTAGGTTCGTGACAATATAGTGCCAAAACATACATCCCGCAGTGCTGTGGTGTGAGGGGTGTCCCTCAGGTCCTGGAGAGCTTGCACGGGAGCAGATGTGTCATGAGCACTCCCAGCATGTGACAGCTCCCATCTGAGGGGTTAATTAAACTCATGGAGTCCAATAAGATGGGATTCCATAGAAGACCAAGCTGCTCACAGAGTGTTTTCTTTTTTTTATTAAAGACTTTTAATTGAACTGTTTAAGTAGCTAATGCTGCAAGATGAGTTGCCCCGTGGTGCCGTGGGTCAGAGCACTGGGGCTGCTGATGGTGCTGGAGGTGCTTTGGCCCCAGACCGGTGCCAGGCGGGGAAGGGGCATTGCCCACACAGAGCTGTTTGTTTGGACCCATGTGAGACATGCAGCAAAGCAGTGTAAGTGGCGTTCGGGCCGCGTTGCTCCATCCCGCTCCGTTTGTGCTCCGCAGGGCAGTGCGGCCGCGTGCTCCCGCCRCACCCCGGCTCGCTGCAGGTGATCCACGGCAACGGCACAGCCCTGGGGACCGTCATAACCTTCCAGTGCCCRGCCGAGCACCAGCTGGAGGGGCAGGCCCTCATCAGCTGCGTGTGGAAGGGCAACGGGACGCAGTGGACCGCCGGAGTGCCCGCGTGCAAGCGTAAGCATCCGCCGAAACACCAGCACCCTGCCGGGCCGCGTGGCACCAACAGCGCCCGGGCATCCCGCGCCCAACGGTTAATCCCAGGCATCTGCGCGAGCAGAGAGACAAATCCCTTTCCTGCAGTGCTGCCCCCGGCTGTAATTGCTCTCCACATGTGTCCTGGCACCATTAGTTATCGTGACACAGGAAAGACTCGGCCAGATTTATGTCTGATCTCCCACCACTGCCTCCAGTAGAGCTGTGCCCAGGATGTATGTGGCTCTCCAGCTACAAGATGTACTGTACTCTAGCAAATATATAGGTGCAATCAACTGATTTGTAAATATATTTGGAAACTCGCTGGCAATTTTGCTGTAAAAGAGCACAGAGGTATTTAAGAAGGGCTATTAGGTGGTTGCCTGTGGTCAGCTGTAAGGAAAAGTTATCCCRCTGACAAATTGCATTTGAATGTCAACAATATTAACTACCTTCCATGCTGTTCCCTCTTATTTATTACAAGATTGTTAGTAATTTGGCGAGGAGTCAGCCCGAGCACAGTTCTGATGCATGGTACCTCTGGGCTTCAGCATGTTTCAAATGGAGGAGTTCACTCTGGATCTCAGACCGTGTATAATTTGAAATCATTTGGTAGCTGGATAGCTATTTCAAACACTTACCATTCCTGCCCGAGCTCAGCTCTACTTACCTCTGATTTAAGAGATTCCATTAAAAAAAAGGAATGAGAGAAATCTTCCCTTGGAGAGCCTGGTAGAGATGTAAAGCTTTCCATAGGCTCATCAAACCATTTCTGAATGCTGGTGTTCATATGGCTGGAAGGAGCTGACAGGTTTTTGAAGCAAAATGTGTTTAGTGCTGAAAATGAGCTGGCAGAGACCTGCGCCAGTGCTGCCGCCCCACATTCCCATTGCTCCTTTTGTCTGGATAGTTTATTTCCAACCTGCTGTCATTGAACAACCAGCTCTGCAGACACTGTCTCTCCCCTTCTTCCTCCCCCACCAAAAAAAAAGAGGAAAAAAAAATGGGTTTGCTACCTGCCCAATAGGAATTAATTATATTGAGCTGTTTGTTCTATAAAGGGCTTCTTTAAACCTTCTGCCCTTTCAGTATTTGGTTTTGCAGCTCCTCTCCTTGCTGACACCAGGGTRAGAGAGTCTGTTACCTCACCTGCACTTGATACCCTGACAAAGTTGTAGGTTTAGATAGTGCGGTCTACCTGGCGTGGCTTAATTAACTGTGGTGGTAAAACACTTGTGAACAATTCGTTAGTAACTTGTAAACAGGTAGTTTTTAAATAGCCCCATTTGAGGCTACATACCTTTATGTTGAAACTTAGCACCCCAATAACTTAGCATATATTATCAAGAAAGTCTTCATAGAATTATAATTMGCAGAAGTGGTAAGTGGGTAGGTTTCCGCATGGAAATGTGATGGAAATGTGGGTGATATGTTCATGTATTCACCTTAGAATTCCGTGTTTCCTTTGCTGCAGCTGTATCAAAATATGAGACGTTCGGATTCAAGGTAGCAGTGATAGCCTCCATAGTGAGCTGTGCCATCATTCTGCTGATGTCTATGGCTTTTTTGACTTGTTGTCTCATCAGATGCGTGAAGAAAAGTGAAAGAAGGAGAACTGAAAGGTATGTCCAGAAAAGATTTTTCTTTATTATAAATTTTAATGGCAAAGTTGCATATGTCACATGGACCCCACAACTGTGATAGCAGCGAGCAATGAAGTTCCTCTCCAGGTACTAGTGCTCACACTACAATAATGATGTTAACCACTAAAGTCCTCCTCTCCTAGCAGTATTTCCTTTGCTCTCCTAGCAGTGTTTCCTTTGCTCTGTCTCCCTTTTCTTTTTTCTTCTCTTTTTTCCTCTCATCAAACTCCAATGGAAAATTCATCCACTCCTGTCAAAACCATCGAAGTCTTYGCCATCTGCAAAGAAGTCGACCTCAAGCTGTCACGAAGAGATGATGAACAAGGATGCTGGAAAGATTTTGTCTGCTGACTTGAACCATAAGACCTTGGGCAGAATTACAGACAGGCATGGGAAGAACTAAAAATATCCATCCAGGCCATTCTAAAAACAGGACAAAATGACCAAATCTATCTGCATGCTAACACTGATGATTTAGAGAAGCCTTTGAGAGCAGGGCAGAGGAGAAGGAGGCATGAAGAGGCATGAGGAGCTCTCTGTGCTCCTGCTGTCTTGTCTGCAGCCACATAGCAACCTCTCTGGGGGGATATCCTGCAATTTCTGAATCTGATGGGAACAAAAATATGAGTTTTCTTTTTTCCTTTGAAACGACTCTGTGAAGCAAAAAGTCTTTGGTATCGTTCGTAATGTTAGGTCTGCACTGATAGCATGAAATATGTGAAGTGAAAATGCTGATTGGCGTTTTTAAAATTGCTGCTCTTCTGGTTGATAAGACTATTCATATCAAAGTCCTTGTTTTTTATTAATTGGAAAAGAAATTTTGTGAGCATTAGCACTTTGCATGACTTTCTCACCAAAAAAAAAGGCACCCTTGCACTGGGGATTTGTACACTGTGCTCTCCTCAGTGCCTACCTCTCTTCCCAGTGTGCTGCTGCCTGCACTGGGATGGGCTTTGGGATGGGGCTCCTGCTGCCAGCTCTGGGCTCATCCCACCCGGCAGCAAGCGCTTTRAAAAGCTGTCCCCCTTAAGGACAACACTTATTCAAGTCTCCAGAAATTTGGCTTACACTTGAAATTCAGCATGTATTCACATGCTGTTCTCAATAGAGATGGATTTACATTTAAATTCAAGCTTAAGTGAATCAGGGCTATAGCGAGATAAAAGCTCAAATATACAGCTGTTTATCATAGTAATGTATTTTGCCGTTTGCTTGATTCACAGAGATATGCAGCTCTGGTACCAGCTCAGAAGTGAAGAACTGGAGAACATGCAAGCTGCTTACTTTGGTTATAAAGGAAGGAATAACAACAACAACAAAAAACTCAGGAATAAATCAGCGTTCGAGGACGTGACTAGCATCGCCTATGACAACCAAGGCTTCTACAGGTAAAGTTATGGAAATACAGCAGTTTTGAATGGGTTGGTGGAAGAGGCGTGAGCAAGTGGCTGTGCAGACGTGTGCATGGGGGGCACGGCGGTTTCCCTGCCTATCCAAGATAACCTCCATGCAGAGCTGATGTGCTGCAGAGACTGCCCTGTTGTCGGCAAGAGGAAAGTGTAGAACTGACTGCAGAGTGCGTCATGCTGATGGCCATGTTGCTGCTGCTCTCCACGTAATTACCTGTCGCTTCGTCTTTGCCATCCTTTGGGTACTGCTCCATCACTGTATACAGTAATATATGGCACCATTCTTGTTTACTTTTAATTCACTGCATTCTTGTGCAGCKTTTGTATACAGCAGTGTCTTGATTTGTAGTGGTTACCTGCAGAAAGCAATTTTATGCAGGTTGTAAASCTGCTTCAGTGTCAGAGCGCTGCTGGAAGTGGTTTTCAAATGGAGCCCTTATGTGAGAGTCTGGTGCCTGTTTAATCGCCTCTTGGCTTTGGGTGACTTCAGGAAGACATATGAAGCTAATTATATGGTGATCATATCCTAGACAGGTTTTCRGAAGACTCAGGACCCAGTTTGTTGTTTTGAGCGGCGTCAGTCTGCCGGGGTGCTGGTGTTGGATCGAAGTGTCATCTGCTTTGGAACGCCGAGCATCGAGGCAGGAGGGCTCTGCCCAGAGCTGGGGGCTCTGCCGGAGCCTCAGGCTCTCACATGGGTCTTATCTACCCTGCTCCACCGAGCAGAAACTGCAGGGTTTTGCTTACCGCGATCTACACATCTTTCCTTAACTGAAAGGAGCAGGGAATACAGGATTCAAGGGGATAAGCAGCTTTGCTGGGGCCAGAAATCAACAAGTTCATTATTTCTCTAGACTGGTGGAGCCTGGGAAAGCTGCAGGGGGGAAACCAAGGGATCGAGAGGAGGGAGGCCTGGGGCAATTTGTTTCTTTGGCACTGTACAACCCACCTGCTGCATTAAGTCCCCATCTGCAGCCCCACGTCTGGTGCCCAAGCTCTGCAGCTGACCAGGCTCTACTTTATTTCCATGTTGCAGAGGCCCTGTGATCCCTGCTGATCCTTAGCTAGAGCAAAAATCATCTGGAAGAGCCAGTATATTAGTCTGCCCATGTTAGAGCCTGCAGTGTAGCCACTGCTCAGGTAGAGAACGGCTGCTCCCAAGCCTGGGCAGGAACTGAAGGACTTGCAGATGCTGGGAGACAAAACTCTCCCTTGGGATTGCTCTAGGAAAAAGCTTGAGCCTTTACCAGCTTGTACCACATACTCTTTCCTCACTCGAATGAGATCCATTTAATCAAGGTCAGTAAGCACTGTTCATCTCTAAGGTTTAATGCTGTTAAGTGGCTATATGCACAGGGTGAGAGGCGGAAATTCTGCTAACATAAATCCCACCAAAGTGTGCCTGCGAGGTCACACAGGAAGCGAAAGATAGTTTAACCAAGGACTGCATTAATGCTTCACATATTTGGAGGACTATGTGAATGTATTACAAGACCACTTGGTAAACCAAAGATCCTATTTTATTTTCCCACCAAGGAACTGTACTAAGAAGCCTTACAACTTACAGTCGAGTTGTGCCCTTATCCGAGAGGAGAAATAATGTGTCCCTCCCTTATGGAGAGCAGGCCTGCTATTCCTCATGGAGCGCCTCAGGAAACGAGGATTCCCCCTCCCTTTGGGAGGACCCTCGAGGGTGAATCTGAGCCTGGTCTGCACCAGGAAAGGATGTGGGTCTTGCTGCTCTTCAGACTTAGTTGAAATAGGTTTAGAGATTAACTACGTTGTGTTTGGATTTGCCCTCTTTAAGGATCAAAGATGCTTTAAGATCGAATAGAATAAAAAGCCAGTTCTTTCAGGCAGGTTTGTTGCTGTTTATGGAGTAGCTTATGGAGGATTAAAAAGCTGTCATCTGTTCAAGTGATGCCTTCGTTTGCTGATGGATAATCAGTCCTAATGGATAAAAGTTATTAGTAATGTTGGGCAATAGAGGCTCTGCTGCTGTTCTGGACCTGTCTGCCATGAAGTGATGACTTTTTCCCCCTGGCATTTCAAGCACAGAACAAATGTGCAGCATATAGTTTTGCTAGCAAATGAGGGATTCAAATGACAAGTATGCTTGTAGTGAGCCCTTCTCTGGCATTTCATGTGTATGAACAAACTCCTATAAAATAATGAAAAGTGCATCCTCAAGTACCTGGGATCAATTGCCTGCAATACAAAGTCACAGTTGATGCCACCTCTTCCTTTTTGAAGCAAGGAACCGTGCGGAGCTTAAAAACATCCATTTTCAGCAGCAGTGCTTCCGTGCAGGAGCTGCAGTGCTCCGGCGGAGATAGCAGCACTCGGGAAATGCAGGGGCTTGGGGCAGATTAGCGGAGAAAAGGGTCTGTCCTGTCGGCGGAGCAGATTAGCTGCGGCTCGGTATCACGTAGCTGGGCCAGGCAGCTGCTCCTCCTCATCCCGGACACCTCGTGGGAGCCAGGAAGAAGGCAGTCCAGCTCCAAAACACATCTGAAGGGCAGCAGAGAGCTCTGGTGAACCCCTTTGCTGGTGTGAAGCCGTTTGGGGGAAGTGGCGCGCTCCAACTTGGAGCGTTTTGAAGYGAGCTATTGCGCAGTGCTCCGGCCAAGCTATAAAGCGTCCTCTGCGAAGCAGCGGCGAGTGGAAGAGCCCGGGTCTCGGCGGGTCTGCGGCCTCCTGCAAGGCATATGGCASCTGGGCCAAATTACCAGGAGAGGACGATCTCTTCTGCAGAGGAGCTGGCTCGTATGTTCTCATGGAAGATATTTTTAGTGCCTGAAATTTTTGTGCTGGAGCCCTTTCTGACTACAGGCGCTTTATCAGTGCACCTGGCAAAAAGCATGCAAGGAAAATCCAACAACAGAGATGTCCAGGGAGAAGGTTTTGTGCAGAAGCCAACATGCTCCTAGGAGAGGCCGCTCGGCTTTTTGAGTTGGTTTCAGAAGCCAGAAATAAAGCTGCCGAAATTAGCTCATAACTTTGGCCCGTGCAGTTAAACCAAGTGTGTTCTCTCTTGCTCTTCCATTTAGTGGCTGTGCTGGTTGTCGTTTTCCGTTACCTTGTGTGTGGGGCTGCAGGGGAGGCACAAGTTAGAAACTCGGGCAGCTCTAGGCGATGTCCACGTCTGCTTGGGCTGGCTGGGAAGCATGCCCGGAGGCCAGCTGGCATCCAGAAGCAGGAGCAAGAGGGGAGAGGACACATGGCTGCATCCCTGCCTGTCCCACTGCACCCTGCAAGCCACAGCTTCTCCACGGAGAGTCATTCGAGCAAGTTATTCCTCTGCTTTCCCCTCTCTACCTCTGCAAAGTGTCCCAGGACATTTGGTCTGCTTGTTCCCAGGCTGTGTTGTCTCAGAGGGCTGTATTTGTCACGCTGCACTTGCCTAGGTTGTCCAGGAGATCCTGGGCAGGTTTCCTCTTCACCCATGTGATAGAAATGGAAATAGAGCCAAGGAGGAGAGCAGACCCAGCCCCACCAAATGCTGAACTTCAGTATATGAATCATCTGCTTCTGCCCTCGTCAAATGCAGTCTCATACATCTACGTGAGATGCTCAGCATCTAGCACCTCTGGATGCTTCTGTGGTTCCAAGGAAAAGTAGATGGAGGTCTCTTCTGACCTTCTCAATTGGATGTTTTGAAATAGTCTAACTGGAAATTGGAGATAAGGAATGTTAAAGCACTTGAAAGAGATCTCATTTGTGCTGCACTTGGGAGAGTCCTGAGGATGAAAGCACCACCCAAAGCCCATGTCTGGCTGACAGCAGTGCATTGGAGAGAGCCCACCACTTGCACAGTTGTCCCTTGTYGGCTCTGCAGCCCTCTCGCTAGCACTTTTCAGCCCTTGCTTAGATGTCACCATAGAATTCACCGTCCCTTTGATGTTCGCAGCTCTTYGTGCAGAAGACATCTTTCCTGTTGATCTCCTTTGCTTTTACCTTGAGCAAGGCCTCCCCTAGAAGAAGCAGTTAAATCCCATGCATCTGCGTGCTGCATCGGAAAACAGCAGTCGTCAGGCAGTGACTATTGTCACCACATCCTGCACTCATTTAAGTGAATAGAAACTTGACAAGAGGAGGATGCCACTTAGCCAGGAGCAGAGTTGTCCTCTAGCTGCAGTTTTAGCCGATTTGGGTTCCTAATGTGGTGGTGAGCAGTGGTAATTGGGAGTTTTGAGGGGCAGAAACATGTAGGAGAGAGCATCAGAATGGGATCCGTTCTGCTGGCTGCAGCAGCTAGCTGTACTTATTGCACAAAATTTATAAGATTTGAAATACTTCTGGCAGGACTATCTGCAAGGTGGGTGGCTGCCCTGTGTGTGTTTTGTAGAGGACTTGCCAACCTGGGTGTATTTTGCAGAAGTCTTGCCTTTCTTGCCTTTGCAGAAGTCTTGCCTTTCTCCTCATTTGTCTGCCATGCATGCTCTTTTGAACAGTTTGCAACTTTAGTTTGCTTTTCAAGAACACTGAATTGACTTACTGATGCTAAGAAAACACGCACAGCTGCAGTTATGTCAGGAGCTTTTGTTTTGACTGCGTTTGGCTGCATTAATGCAAGAGCTTCTGTCCCCTAGCAGTAGATGAGCCCCACAGGGGTACCGAAGCGGGTGTCCTGGTCTGACACTGAGACACCCGAGGGSTTGCCAGCACATAATAGTTACATGGCACGTTCCCGGCACCGTGGGCATTCCGCATCAAATGGATGAAGTTACCAGACTGTTTCAGAGGAGAAATGGATGAGYATTGTGCTGCCCACATTCAAGTGGGTAAACCCTGCTCAGCTGTGATGAGCGTGTGCTGGTGGCAGCAGGACACTCATGTGCAAAGTAATGGTGGTTTAAGAGGCCTATGTGACTGCAGCCTGTGCCTGAAAAGGTTTTGTATTGCAGCTGGCCAGAGAAGGGCGAGATTTATTCTCCTTTCCGGGAAGGGTGTTTCTGCAGGGTATCTGCTCTGCTGCAGAATGGCAATTATTTCGTAGCTGCACTTTATTTCCTGCATTACCCCTGTGGGTTTCCCCAGCAGAGCGGATGCAGCTCGAGTGACTCTTTCCTTCCCGCGTGCAGGTTGCAGGAGGAGTGGACGCGGGACGCGGCAGCTCCGGGATGCAGCAAGGACAGCGCCCGCCCGCCCGGGCTGCGCGCMGCCAGCGGGGCGCCCGCGCCGCCAGCGGGGCCGGGACCCAGCGCCGCGGCTCCCCACGCCACTTGTGTGCACCTTGCTGAGGTCCACGGACACGCGTGGGACAGCCGGAGCAGACCCAGCTCCCACATACCCGGCTAGCCGGGCCTGAAGCACAGTAGCTCCTCCGGACCAAAATAAAACCTGGACAGAAACATGTGCCTTAAAGTCAATGTAGAAAATTAACTGTTCAAATGAAATTTGAAATTTTATATACTCTGAGATAGTTATTTAAAAGAAACACTTCGAGGTCTGACCTGAATAAAATAATGAATGTTGACAGTGGCAGTCCATAGCCATTCTCTCCAATGTGTTGTATAGTGTGACCATGTCCAAAGCATAATTCTTCTGTACATATAGAGGGGAAGGAAAACAGGTTTGTATAATTGCCTCATACAAAGTCACTGATGGTAATTACACATTCATAAGATTGCAACTTTCTTTTGACCTATGTTTTTTGTAAACATTTCAGAAAGGAAATCTCCCATATTTTTACACAGTAGTATGATATGATTAAAATAAAGTTTTGTTTTTAATTAAAAGACCYTGTTACTTCATAGGAGGAAGATCTTGTTTTTGCCTCCGCTGCTGTGCCTGCSGAGCCGGTGGGTTTGTGGCAGTGYCGGGCGGGAGCGGGGCGCAGAGGCGGCCGCTCCAGGCGCTCCGGGAGCGGGATGCTGCTGCCGGGCGGCTCTGCCACTCGCAGCACGAGGCCCGTCTGCACCCGCGTGGCTCCAACCATCATTGCAGCATCTCCCTGAGTAGCTCCATAAACAAAGGAGCTAGGTAATTTCTGGAAACATGCCTGCTTTTCCTGTTACTAGTCTGTTCACTGTGTGAGGAAATGCATGTATTTTAATCGTTGGGGTTTTTTTTTTTCCATTTTGAATAGTTAAGTGTTAAGGTTCTTATTCCATTGCTTACGCACAGAGACACTGTAGTTACAGTATGAGTGCTTTTATTCAAGCTGTAATTTTACGCTCCATCATTAGCTGCAGAGTGGGTATTGTCACATTCCCATCCTGGTGGAAATGGGATCCTATGGTGAGTCCCAGCTGTGGTCTTGGTGTGTGTCCTGCCTACAGTGAGTCATGTTTGCTCTTAAGAGCTTCAGTTTTTAAGTTTCCATTTTGAAATTCCAGTGGCTGTGGTTTGCTGACAGGCTGGAAATGCCCTGGTCCTCTCCGGCTGCTCTGGCAAGGCGGCTCCCAGGCATCGTGTGCTGCGGATCTGCAGCTCCGCGCTCGGGACCAAGACGTGCTCCCCTGAGGGTGAGGCTAGGAACTGCATTTGTTTGTTCCTTCTGCACCAGGAGATTTGCTCAAATTTTAATGTATTTTCTTTTTAGGACTATTTAGAAGAAAGACGATTTGCAGCCCTAGCTGGTGAGAGCCTTGCGTATAATGATCACACTTGTGTTGTCGCTCGTGCTCAGGGACGGGCGGCAGGGCCCAGCGCTCTGTGTGTGGGGACATTCCCGGAGCCCGTCTCCGCTCCCAGCGGTTCCTGATCAGGCCGTGGTGGCACTGCGCTCTGGGAAGGCTCCTCAGCCTGGCACGAAGCTGGGCACCAGCTCGGCTCAGGCCCAGGCTTGCGTGCCAGCTCTGAGCATGGTTTATTTACACACATGCTGAGTGCTCACGTGGCCTCACTTGCTTCCTGCTGCAGGGATTTTTTTTGCTAATTTGCTGAGCCTGTGTGTATTTTTCTTTGCAAGGAATCAGAGGCTGCATTTCAAACAGCATTTTCAATGCAGCTGGCTCTTCATTCCTAAATACAACCTAGCAGCAACCCAGGCAGCTCGGTAATTATCAAACTGACTTATGCTCAGCGTAAAAGGGYTTATTGCACCTGCCAACCTCTCTGTTGTACCCGGAAGATGACATGCTCATTTGTTTCCATTATCTGTATAATCATTTTATTACTAACACAATAAATATTTCCAAGGAAAAGGCTGCAGCACAGCAGAATCCGGGTGTGTGCACTTTGTTTTTCCGCATGTGGATTACTTATAGGCAACACATACAAGAAATTAGGTTGGTTGTGCTCCCGTGTAGGGGTTTGGCTTTGCTGGGTCTGTGCTGAGCGCTTGCCGCCACACTTCAGTGTCGACAGTGCTTGGGGCTGGAGCATTATTTTGGTTCCTCTCCTGAGCAGCGTGGCAATAACGGGTGGCAGTGACAGGGCTACTGCAGGGCCTCCCGTGGGTGCAGGCACTGCCCGGCTGCGCGCACAGTGCAGGAACGGGCCGTGCAAAAGCAACGCCGGCGGCTTGGGGCAAACAAACGTCTCTGGCCCTAACGGCAGCGGAGAAACGCCCGTGGGCAGGCGGGGCGCGCTCCCGGGGGCGGAGCGGAGCCGTGCGCGCTCCCGAGGGCGGTGCGGAGCTGCCCAGTGCGCGCTCCAAGGCCGGGGTGGGGTGTTGCGCGCTCCCGGGGGCGGCGCGGAGCGGATCCGTGCGCGCTCCCGGGGGCAGGGCGGAGCCGTGCGCGCTCCCGGGGGCGGTGCGGAGCCGTGCGCGCTCCCGGGGGCAGGGCGGAGCCGTGCGCGCTCCCGGGG